TTTTTGATAAAAATAATTTAAAATATTTTTATAACTAAACAATATTAAATAGTTTTTAAAGATAAATATATTTTATTAAATATTTATTATGTATTATATAATAGATAAGATTATAAGTTGAAACTTGTTATTTTAGAAGAGCAAAAAGTAACTCTTTATATATCTTTTCATAACATTATTTTTAGAAATATGCTATGTATTAAAGAAGATTTCAAAAAATACTATATGATAGAAAATATGTTAGAACTATATGGTTTAGCTATATAGCATAGTCTGTATTAGATTTTCTGACTATATATATTACACAGATTACAAAATAATACAATATACTTCTTAGTATTATAAAACTAAAAATAGTGATTCTTATATAATAATTTGTAATAAAATATATATTATCATGAAGCTAATAATCTTCTTTATAATTCTTATTAGAGGTCCAAAAAGAACTGAATGCTTTTTGGTTTACTATACTATATAATTAATAACTATAAATAAACATAACTAATCACAACTCTTTCTGACGATCACTTGAACCTATGTAAAGCAATACTGACTTATGGTAAAATTTGGAAAATATAACAAAAGGATACACAATCCTTCTAGTAATATAGTAGAATTAAAATGTTCAGCTTGTAGCTTTTGAAAAATATTATCTTGGAGTTGTAGTCTGTATTATATATCTAGAAACTTTTGAATAGAAGTAGTACTGCCAGAAGCTTTTGTCAGTATTTTTGTTTGGTTATAGAAAACAAACATATACTTGTCTTATTATTATGTTCTTCCAAAGTAATATAATCTTATAGTTATTACAATATACTCTACAAGTAAGATTCTACTGAATATATATTTTGAACTCTCTCTTTTACTAGTTTCATTATTTTTTAGAGCAAATTAGAAAAATCAGCTACTCTTCTTCAAAAGACCTACTGATTGATAAGCCATATTAGGAATTAGCCTATTTATATTTAGGTACATATAAACAAATATGTATTAGCTAAAACATGTATTAGGAGAAACCCATATGGATAGCTACCTGGATTATATCCTGAAGTAAACTTTTCTAGGCACAGATTAAACTTTTTTTAAGTTATAGTAAAAAATATAGAAAAGTAGCTATATACAATTTTACTAGAGCTATACTAGGAGCAGTATAGTATACTACTTTATTTTCTCATTTTTTTTTTCTTTTTTTACTTTTCTTATTTTTATTACTTTTTTTACTTTTATTACTTTTATTATTTTTTATGCTTTTCATACTTTTCATACTTTTCATATTTTTCATACTTTCCTTACTTTTCTTACTTTTCATACTTTTCTAAAAAGCTATATAAACTCTCTCTTTTCTTCTTTCTATAAAATCAGTTCTAACAGTTCTTCAGTTAGTTCTCAATAAGTTCTGTATACAGTTCTGACAAGTTCTATTATCTCTTATAGTATTTAATAAGTTTTGTAGTCACTAATACAATACTCAATAAAGTTCTAAGTTCTCTACTAGTTTTTTAATTAATATAATCTTTGGCTTTAAAAATAAACTTTTACTAACAAACTATTATAGTGATATAATATTCTACTTTAATACTATTAGGAATCCTCCTTTTGTATTTTATATTATTTGGAGTATATTAAAAAAGCTATATCACTTGTAATAAAATAAAAAACAAATCTAAATAAAATCATGACATAACTACTGAATTTTTAAAAAAAAAAAATAATATAAAATTTTTTTTTAAAAATTTACAAAAACTAACCTAATTGAGTTATGAAAAACAACTAATTAGCTTTATATAACTAATAAATCATAAGAAAATACAAACTTTAAAAAGTTATATTACAAAATTTTATTTTTAGTTATTAAGGCAGCTTACATTGCTGAAGGAATTTTTATTAGAATTATCAATAGGATTATACATTGATAATCCTTACTGTTTGTAATTACATGAAGAGTGTACAACAAACCACACATACAACTTTAGTTATTGTCTATTTTAAGTAGTCTGCCGCACAGATGTTAGGCTACCTGATTAGTTCTATACTATGCTGCCATACCTGTAACCCACCTGTGAGTTACCTATTTAAACACTCTGATCATTAATCTATACAGATCCAATCTAACATCACTGCAACATCTAACTACTTAAGTTAGCTAGCTTATTACAGATCTATTTATTCAGAATGGCTTAGGTCCTTTTGGGATACATTATACTAGACGTATTGCTAGTACTGCAGAACCAGTTAATCTTGAAGCAAATCTACTAAAACGATCTGTACCTATTTCTGTATTTTATGAATTTACTTAGCTTAAACCCTTGTAGATATTTATACAACCCCAGATTCTACCATAGTCCTTCACCGGTCGGTCGATCTAGTCCTTTTTCAGTATCCAGCTAGTCCTGCCTGGAAACCTTGAAACCTTCTATCTTTATTAGACTGAGTTTTCTTCTTGAATCAGACTTTAGCTGATGTAGTCCTATCAGAAGACTGTACTACTTCACCAACTCAAGATTTCTACCATGCAGATCCCCTGGCTGTATATCCTATCAAGATTTATTCGTATAATGTTATGCTACACTTCCAAGTTCCGATCAATTTGATCAACTCAATTTATAGGGGTACGCTCCCAGAAATGAACAGAATTTACTATAACATATCACAAAGTCTAAGAAATTATTCAAATTCATCAATAGTAGGATTTGAACTCCAGACCTATTGCATGGCAGTTCAACAACCTAACCACTATACTAGGTCATCAGACCTTATTACAAAATTTTATTAATCCAATTACTTTTATATCTTAAATAATAATTCTAAATTGATTTATATAAAAAAACTTATTAAAAAAATTGTTATTTTAGCCTTTTTTCTAGCTCTAGCCTATATGAGATATGATCTATTAAAACTAGAGATGTTAAAAAGTCCGTCCAGTCTGGTCTTATTGTAGTTCTGTTAGTTCCATCTAGGTTTAATATAAAATATGCGTGATTTAGAGTTAACCAATCAGAGTATAGTATAACGTTATCAATCGCCAACTAGTTTTAAATTATGGTATTTAAAAAGTTCTGTTATTGATTCAAATTTTTTTTTTTTTATTCGATGTGTCAAAAAAACACTTTTTTATATCATGTGACTAGCGCGCTAGTTCAGAACCGGTCCCGAACTAGTCCCTCTAGTCCCCAGTTCAGACTGGTCCGGACTAGACCCCCTGTGGACCACTTAACATCCCTAAAACAGCCTATTTTTATATATAACTGATAAACAATTTTGAGTAAATCGATTTTAAATAATAATCTACAAATAGTAATATATATAAAATCTTTAACTTGAAGTTTATTTTATAAAGCTTTTTATTATATAATTAGCTTTGATAATTTTTGAAAAATTGTAAAAAATAGACTGTTTAATAGATTACACTCCATATTACAGAACTAAATACTCTCAAAAACCACCATGACATCACATTATTTATTATATAGTAGCCTTCGGCCTAAAATTAATAAAAATTAACTTTGTATGGCCTTACAATTACGTTACGTATAAATAATAATTTGTTATACAAAAATCTTGACTAATACGAAATTTTGATGGACTACATGTACTATTAGTACATGTTTTGCTCACCATAATCCTACCTCTACGCCTCAATTCAGCCTAATTTTGGCTGAAGTGATTTAATTTTTTTTTTTAAACGGTCTTACGTATCGGCATCATATGGAGTCGATCTTTATCTTTTAGTATTAACGCTTCGCTCTATATATCAGAATTGTGGTAACGCAATCGCCATGTTTTTAAGTTATTATTTACCTAAATTTGGAAAAAAAATTTCAGGGATAATTCTAAATTTCTATAAAGCGAGTGATTCTTTCATCTTGGAATTTTATTTTTTCTTTTACAAACATTAATCGCTAAATAATGGATAATTCAGAAATAAATATAGATACTGATCATGATACTGTTTCAGTGGATTTGGATTCTATTAAAGAATACCATAAAAAAACCGATCATCACTCTTTAACAAAAGTAAATTTATTTTAAAATCGTTCACTACCAAAAATTGATTTCTAAAATATTAAATGTTTACTTTATAGGCATTGAAAACTGTTGTTTCCTCCACGACTGATAAAGATAAAGATGGTATGAATACTTTATATTATGGTGCTCCAAGTCACTTCTCATCAAATTATCTAGAAAATTGGCACTCTGTTTAATTATAGAGATCTACATAAAATTGACATTTAATATATAATTTTTAAAAATTGGCATTTAATATATAATTTTAATACTTTGTAAATTGATATGAAGTGACCATAATAATTTATTATAAATCATTTCATGTAATTTCTCAATACTTTTGATTTTTTATAAAGTTAACGCTAGCATTTTCGCGCCTTCAAATTCGACTCCGCCAAGTAAACATTGGATGCATCCCTCCCTTAATCCACTATACCGACTAGTACCACCTTTGAAAGTCTGGGCCACTAAGAGGCATTTTGGAAATTATGTGATTGTTCGTGAAGTAAGTCACGTGGTGCTGGAAATCATTATATTAAAATTAAATTATTTACTGATTATTATTTTATTTCAGACGGGTGAAAAGACATGGGAGGAAATGCCAGTATATACTAGGATTGGAATGCATTTACTATTTTTCGGAAGATTGGAAGAAAAATGTATAAGTTTTCACAGATTATTGCTTTATATCAGAAGAATTTTTTGTTCTTAACAATTTTGATATATGAAAATTACTAGTCGTTGAATTGTCAGCCATTAAATCTCTTTTCACGGTTGAATCAGTGCGTCAAGGAAGATATTTTGATTCACCACATTCTGCTAAAAATATCCATAGTTTTATTAAACACTATAAGATTAATACCGATGAGTTATTAGAACCGGACATAAAAAAATACAAATGTTTCAATGAATTCTTTTACAGAAAATTGAAGCCTGACGCTAGAATTATTTCTGACCCTAATGATGATAATGTTATTGTTTCAGCTGCGGATTCAAGGCTTAACGTTTTTCAAGATATTGATCTTGCGAAAAAATATTGGTAATATTAAGAAATTTTTTTTGGCATTATATTATGGTTCAATCAATGTACAATTATTTTTCGTAATTTATTAGGGTCAAGGGAAAAAAGTTTACAATTGCTGAACTCATTCAAGATGAAGAGATGGTATGAGCTTGTGTATTTATTATCATCTTAATGTCATAAGTTCCCAAGAATTTTATTATTAACATATACACATTTAGGCTAAGGAATTCGATGGAGGTTCCATTGCAATATTTCGCTTGGCACCTCAAGATTATCATCGATTTCATTCCCCGGTAAATAGTGTGGTTGGATCATCGAAATATATTAATGGCACTTATTTCACAGGTATGAAGTTTTTTTTATTCATTTCAAAATTAATTTACATTGTCAATTTAATTAAAATTTTTCACAAAAGTGAACCCTATGGCTATCAATGAAGAACTTGATGTATTTACAGAGAATGTTCGATCCGTAATTCAACTTCATCCGTCCACGCCAGGTGCATCCAAAGTGCTGTTCGTTGCCATTGGTGCCCTGTTGGTCGGTTCAATCAAATTCACGGTAAAAGAGAAAGATAAAGTTAATAAAGGTGATGAATTAGGACATTTCGCATATGGTGGGAGTACCATAATATGCTTATGGCCAAAGGGAGTGATTAAATTTGACGATGATTTAGTGTCTAATTCTAAGACAAGTATTGAAACATTGGTGAAAGTTGGAATGAGAATTGGTATTCGAACTTCAAAGGCTTAATACTTGATAAACTATTTAGCAATGTTATAATTTTGTATTTTTAATTATCCGCTTAGAAATTTATTACTATATATTATTATGAATATTTATTTTGTGAACATTTATTTAGTGATTTTAACAGTAGTAAAATTATTGAACTTGGTTAAATATTTTAAAAGAAATGATTTAAAGGTTAATAAATGTTTATTATGAAGATTATCTTATAGAAGTACAAATATTAACCAGTTAGAATAGATCATCTTGTACTTAGATAATTTGAGTTAACTATGATATATACTAGCTGCTAGTATTTTTTTAAAAAATAAACTGTACAAGATAATAAAATAAATAAGTGCTGTATAGGTAATTTTTTTTATATAACCTATTATATGTATTTTTTTAATTCTTATATATTATTATGATTATTATATAACTTTTAAAAAAAAATCAAAATAATTAAAAAGTTTAAACTTGTTCTCGGTAATTAAATTTATAATATTAATTTCCTATTATTACATATTATAGCAAAATTTTTAAATAATAATACATAAGGATACATAAGATTATATAAAAAATTTGCTTATCCCTAGTGCTTGTATAGTGAAAACCTGGAAGTGAATTTTATTCTGTAACGGACTAGTCTTATAATAAAATAAGTCCGCTACATAGATAAATTTAAAGATTCAATTCGAGGTTTTCACTCTATAGCACTCTAATAATAAAATAAAATAAAATACTACTATTAAAATTTTTTATATCAATTCAATCTTACCAGTTTAAATATAAAAAAAGCAAGTTTGCTTAATAACTACAATTTAAAAAATAATACTTATATTAATTTTATTCAAAACACTTTGAAATCTCTATTAATATATTCAATTAGTCAAAGACCTTAAATTATTTCTATTCTAAAAATTTATATAGAAACTTCTTTGTTGTATCTTAAAAATTGTTTATAAACAGGATTTTCAGTCTCATTAATAGCATGATATCCAAGTTGATTCTTAAAATTCTCGAATACTTCTGAATCTTGAGGTGGTACTTGAATTCCAACCAATACTTTCCCTATATCTGTTTTGTCAACACCGTAAATAGTAGTGAAATAGTTATCATTAAAAATAATATTTTCATCACCAAGTAAATTAATGCTTGTTTCACTATCGTTATCACTAACACCAGATGATGCTGTTGATGACGATGTGCTTTCAATAATGAATCGCGTTAATTGTGGGGTTTCGTTGGCCGTTTGGTAATTGAACGTACCTGAACCATGATTACGATAATGAAATAGAGAAATATTCCAGTTTGAACGAAGGCCTGTTAGAAATTTTTTTAACGCCCCCGGTCGCTCAGGAAATTCTTTAATACCATTATAGTTAATATTCATCTAGTAAAAAATGGCTCAACTAATCAATTAAAACTTACCAAACCGATATAATTGTTCGTTCTCAACGTTACTTCTTCCACCGACTAAATACCTCGCGTGACTTTTAGCCATTTCATTATCACTAATATCTTGAACGCTAAATCCGTTGGCCTCAAGTTGTTTTAGAACAGAAGGAAGGTCTTTCTCACGGTTGTTAACTTCAAACGACATGTAAATCCATGCCTTCTCAGGATCAGAATATCTATTATAATATTAGTAGCTAATAAAAGCGTACAAATCTAAAAATTGCTTGTCTCTTACCTATATGAAAACTCAGTTATTTGACGCGGATACATAGTATCACATAACTGAATAAAACTTATGTACGAAAAAAAATTACATATAATAATATAATTATTATCAATTAATTAATTAATTAACAAATAAATTCAGATAATATTTTACCTTCCAGGACGTTCAGGTATGATCACTGAAAACAAAGCTTCACTATGTTCTCCTAACTTAGCGCGTTCAGCGACAAATCTCAAACGTTCAAAATTCATATTTGCACCCGATGTAACAATAACGAAGCAACCGTTTGTAATGTTGTTTTCAGCAATATATTTTTTAACGCCAGCTATAGAGAGAGCACCAGCTGGTTCAACAATAGATCGAGTATCTGTATGAATAAAATTTCGTAAGCATAATTCAAAAAGGTAATAATAATAAACATTAAAAATGTCACCTTCGAAAATATCTTTAATAGCTGCACAAATTTCATCATTGGTAACATTAATCATCATATCTACAACTTCACTACACACCCTAAAAGTTTCCTCGCCAACAATTCTAACAGCAGCCCCATCTGCAAACAATCCAACTTCATCAAGTGTAACTCGACTTTTCTTCTTCAACGACAAAGTCATCGCATTAGAATCATAAGTTTCAACTCCAATGATTTTAATCTTGGGGCATAACCTTTTCACATAACTACCAATCCCTGCAATCAAACCACCACCACCAACACATGCGAATATGGCGTCAATTTCGTTTAAATTATGTTGACGAAGAATCTCCATAGCTATGGTTCCTTGACCAGCTATAACATATGGATCATCGTATGGAGGAATGTTAGTGAGTTGATGGAGCTTGGCTAGACGAACACATTCTTCTTTGGCTTCATCAAAATCATTTCCATATAGAACAACTTCAGCGCCTAGACGTTTTACATTTCGCCACTTTATGTCTGGAGTCGCACTGACATTCTCCAAATGAAATGTAATATATGATATAAGATCACTTGTATATATTAAAGGCGATCAATTATTTGTGACCACTTGTTTTTTACGATACTCAGGAACAAAGGAAACAAGTGGCCACAATAGGATGACGGAATCACGTGACTCGCAATACATACAGTGGCATTACGATAGTCGCGGGAAGACCAAGATTTCTTGCTGACATTGCGACACCCTGCGCGTGATTTCCTTAAATAATATTAATCATTAAATTAAAAACTAATAGTAATTTGGAGCTTTAACAATTTATAAAGCTATTATAATAAGCATAAAATGTGTAAACATACCAGCAGAACAAGCGATGACACCTCTTTGTCTTTCCTCCTCAGTTAAATGTGCGATCTTATTATACGCGCCTCTAATCTTAAAAGAAAAAACTTCATGTAAATCTTCTCTTTTTAGCAAGATTTTATTATTAAGTTTTGCTGAAAGATTTACGGCCACTTGTAAAGGTGTCTCCTTAACAACCTCATAAACTCTTGAGGTAAGCACTAATCGTAAATAATCAGGGTTTGATAAATCTGTTGTGGAGGTTAAATGAGGTGAAGGATTTAATGTTGTGGTTTCCACGAGGGACTTTCCTGTTGGGAATTGATATGAATTTGAAGGATAACCATCTTGAGGACTAATTTGATCCATAATTGAGGAAAGATGAGATGATTAATTTTTTTTTTATGATAAAATTTGTGGCAGATCGGACAATCAACACGTGATATATCATTTTCTCGTTATATAAAATCAAGTTCTCAAAATTTCAAGATCTTTCTTTTTCCTAACTTCATAAAGCGAACATGGTAAGCAATTTTGTATAACACTTATAAAATCGAATGGAACTTTTAATTTAAATTTTGATCATAACCGATTGACTTATGATACAAATTATTACTTTTACTGCTTAATGATGGATTAGGCTGACGATTACGATCAGGCAGTTGCAACTGAACCGAAGAAAAAGAGAACTTTTAAAAAGTTTTCTTATCGGGGTATTGACCTCGATCAACTCCTGGACTTAAATTCAGAGCAGGTAGGTTCGAGTGATCTTATTTAAACCTTATTATAAACAATTATTAACTTACTAAATATATTCCTAAAACATAGTTAACGGACCTTGTTCATGCTAGAGCAAGAAGAAGATTTCAACGTGGTTTAAAACGCAAACCAATGGGACTTATTAAAAAATTACGTAAAGCAAAAAAAGAAGCTCCTCAAGGTGATAAACCAGCCGTCGTTAAAACTCACTTGCGTGATATGATTATTGTACCGGAAATGATTGGTTCTGTAATTGGTGTTTATAATGGTAAAACTTTTAATCAAGTTGAAATCAAGGTAATCTTTATATTATGTTATACATATTTATCAATATATTATATTCATTATATAATACCTCTTTTTCGCTACTAAATGAAAATTAACAGCCTGAAATGATCGGCCATTATCTTGCTGAATTTTCCATTTCGTACAAACCCGTTAAACATGGTCGTCCTGGTACAGTAAAAGACATATATTTATCATACTTAAAATTTATTATTATATGGTCTAAATTTCAAATTCTTTATTAGGTATTGGTGCCACTCATTCATCAAGATTCATTCCATTAAAATAGAGTTTCTGCATAATTTTAAAACTGATGTCGGGTGAAAATATATACTTTCTATAAAAAATTGTAGCTTATGTTACGAAAATTTTAATCATGATGTTTAATACATAAATTACATCGCCTATTTAATAGCAAATGACTGATTAATCAATTAGGTGTAACTTGAAAATCGAACCTAACCCTAACCCGGCTGTTGGTTTTTTTAAAAAAATCTTGTCTTGATTCAATTAAAAAATGGCGATGAATATAATTTTCTTATTAAAGCGAAAAAAAATTCGATATACAACAATGTAAAATCACGTTCGATGAAAATTTTTTTAATCGAATTACACAGTTTCAGAGAATTAAATAAAAAAAATTTATATCGAATTTAGTTAGGTGGTTGTAGATATATCTTCGGTTTAAGTTTTTAAAAAATCAAAAAATAGAGGCTGCGCCAAATTTTTTCTATCAACAACCACCTGACCAAATTCGATGAATTTTTTTATTTTAATTCTCTGGAATTTTATCATTAGATTAAAAAAATTTTCACCGAGTTGTTGAGATATCTTCGTTCAAGGTTTAGAAAAAATTTGTCACAACTTATATTTTAATAGACGTTTTTGAGTTTTTTAGAAACTTTAAACGAAGACATCTCCACAACCACCTAACTAAATTCGATGAAAAATTTTTTATTTTAACTCTCTGGAACTGTATAATTCGATTATAAAAATTTTCATCGAATTCGGTTAGGTGTTTATTGAGATTCTTTGTAAAAAATTTGACGCAACTTACGTTTTGAGTTTTTAAAAACTTTAAACGAAGATATCTCTAACAATCACCTAACTAAATCCGATATATTTTAATTTAAACAAATTACTATCGCTAACGTAATAAAATTTTTGCGATCACGTGATTATCGACGGAATTTAAACTACCCCAGGTGCAAAAGTTTCAAAATTGATAGATCTACGATATACTCAATTTGATTACGTTCTTGATGTACTTTTAGTAATAATTACTTGACCAAATTCAATGAATTTTTTTTTTTTGTTTTAATTCTATGAATATATGGAATTCAAATAAAAATCATCGATTTTGATCGGGCGGTTGTTGAGTTATCTTCGCTCAAAGCTAGTAAACAAATTCAAAACGTCTATTAAAATAAGTGCGCCAAATTTTTTCTAAAACTTTGAACGAAGATATCTCAATAACTACTCGACCAAATGCGATGAATTTTTTTTTTTTTTGTTTAATTCTACAAATATATAGAATTCAATAAAAAAAATTTCATCGATTTTGGTCAGGTGGTTGTTGAGATATCTTCGCTCAAAGTTAGTAAACAAATTCAAAATATCAATTCGTTCCAAATTTTTTATAAAACTTTGAGCGAGAATATCTCAACAATCACCTGACCAAAATCGATGAAATTTTTTTTATTAGAATTCTATTTAATTGTAGAATTAAACCAAAAAAAATTCATCGGATTTGGTTGAGTAGTTATTGAGATGTCTTCGTTCAAAGTTTTAAAAAAAATTTGGCGCACCTATTTTAATAGACGTTTTGAATTTGTTTACTAACTTTGAGCGAAGATATATCAACAACCGCCCGATCAAAATCGATGAATTTTTTTTATTTGAATTACATATATCCATAGAATTAATATAAAAAAAATTCATCGAATTTGGTCAAGTAGTTATTGAGATATCTTCACTCAAAGTTCAAAAATATTTTACTAAAAGTGCATCAAGAACGTAATCAAATTTTGAGTACATCATAGATAGATCTATCAAAAATGTGAAACTTTTACTTTCACGTGATGATCGACAAAAATTAGCCAATCATGTAACGATGTGAATAAATTATTCGATTTTTTTCTGCTTAGTTTTTTTCACAACGTTTTTTTTTTTTTTTTTTTTTTAGAAGTTTTCGTATTTAGTAATTTTTTTAATCTTCGATGCTTGTGTGATAATAAATTAATGCCCGAACCATGGTTTAAAATGTATGTTAATATTAACAACATCACGTTAACTTAATAGTTAATTAATAAATGCTACGTACGTATTATTTGTGTACGTATACGTACGTATACGTAACAGACAAATTTTATTACGTATACGTATAAATTGATATTAATAAAAGTTGTTCAGAAGATCATACGTAATACATGTATTCTAATACGTAGTGTTTATACAAATTATTCGTTGAACGTAAAAAGCAAAAGTGTAATAATAAAAAGTTATCCAATTTGTATAAAACTTGCAGAATATATGTATTATGATCTCCCGAATAACTTTACTTAAGCGATGAATAGTGATTTACTTAGTATAAAATTGACTTTTATAGTTTCGGGATTTGGGATTATAGTTTCGGGGTTTCGGTTTTTTTTTTTAAAAAAAATCTTGATCGGAAACCCGACCATCTGCTTGGTTACACGGTGTATTACAAACTGATTTTTTTTTTTTTTTTATATAATGATAACGATAAATAATCAATAAGTTGTTATTCTTAGCAAAAGTAACAAATGGATTATTCAGAAGACAAAAATGATTATGGCGACTAATTAGAAGATCATGAAAGTGATGATGATGATCAAATGGAAGATGTTCAATCTACTTCTGATAATTTTATAGTTGAACC